ATATATATATATATATATATATATATATATATATATATATATATATATATATATATATATATTTGGATATTGGAAAATGATGAAACAAAGAACTTGAATAGAAAAATGATGAGCTGAAAGAAATCGAGTATTTCGTGCTACGTACCTGTTAATATTTTTACGAAATTACTTGAGCTGTCCCTCTGAAAATTGCTTTCAATAAAATTGGGTTTAGTATTTTGTTAATTTATATACGTGATATAGTATACTGCGATGTAAAATCCAAACATACTTATGCCATATATATTCTCGCTCCTGAAATTTCCCCTTCTTACTCAACTGTTTCGACACGTCATATCAATGGCTGTGTTCAGGAGACACACGGTTATACAACGTTGCGTAATTAGTTAACGTAATTGGTTTAAAGTTAGAGATCTAACAGTAAGGACCAATAATCACTGACCGCTCAAGGCCATCACACACAAAATTCCGTAAGAACTTAAAACGTAAGCGTAAAGAAATCGACCAATCCCAATCGAGTATTCGGCTCTTCGTAATAATGGAGGGGTTACGAAGAGCCGAGTGCTCGATTGGGATTGGTTGATTTCTTTACGCTTACGTTTTAAATTCTTACGGAATTTTGTGTGTGATGGCCTTCACTGATCAGCTATGTTTTTTGAACGCAGCCATTGGATGCGTTCAGCAAACACACAGTTGCACAATTGTTGAGTGATTCGTAAACGTAATTGGTCTAAATATAGGGAACCAATAGTTGTATAGGTAATCAGGATAAAAAAACTAACCTCAAATTTTACTTTGATTTTGCTTTGATTAGTCAAATTTTAATCCAATCCAATCCCTAATCTATGGTCTGATGGAGGATTCAGGCCTGGAACACAATACGCCATATGTCGGAGTTGGATGTCGAAACGCAGCCGATGGTCCAATGAGAGAATTTATTTTTTGAGGATGAGTTCTCATTGAATCATCGGCTGCGTTCCGACATCCAACTTCGACATACGGCGTATTGTGTTCCAGGGTCCATATTCTTGAAATTTTTGCGTATACATAATTTTCATTAAGCCCATTCTACAATTGCGTAAGCATAGTCGTGAACGTAAGAGCCAACCAATCCGAATGTTTTATTCACTGATTGCTTTACTCTGATTGGTTGTCGTAATCACTTAACCACTTACAACACGTTTACGCAATTGTACAATGGGATTTACACAGCTATTTTATGAATAAACCTGCGTAGTAAAATTTACGTTATACGCAACTATTTCAAGAATAATGGCTCCTGCACACAAGACGCGGTAATATTTGCCGCGCGGCGGAAATTCGCGCAACAGCCAATCAATATGCTGCTTTCCGTAATAACCTTCTAGTTCTTACGGAAAAACAACATATTGATTGGCTGTCGCGCAAACTTCCGCCGCGCGGCAAGCATTACTGCGTCCTGGAGGAGCCATTACTGCTTAAGTTTTTCTGGTGTCACTACCTAAAGGTCCGTCTACAATGAGATTGGCAGTAGGCAGTAAGACATAAGTAGTAAACAAATTGATCAATCACAGTCGATTATTCTAATAATAATCGACTATGATTGGTCAATTTGTTTACTACTTACGTCTTACTGCCTACTGCCAATCTCATTGTAGATGGACCTTTAAAGCTGGCCACACACACTTTCCGTAAAGGGACGTCTACATTGGAAGTAAGTAGGAAGTAAGTAGGAAGTAAGAGTAAGAAATTGACCAACCATAGTCGAATGTGAGAAGAATAATCAACTATGATTGGCCAATTTCTTATTCTTACTTCCTACTTCTTACTGCTTACTTCCAATGTAGATGTCCCTTAACAGTAACCGTAATGGCTCCTGCACACAGGACGCGGTAATGTTTGCAGTGCGGTGGAAGTCCGCGCGACAGCCAATCAATATGTTGTTTTTCCGTAAGAGCTAGAAGGTTATTACGGAAAGTAGCATATTGATTGGCTGTCGCGCGAATTTTCGCCGCGCGGCAAGCATTACCGCGTCCTGTGTGCAGGAGCCATTACTGTTACGAAAAGTGTGTGTGGTTAGCTTAAGACGTGAGCAGTAAGCGAATCAATCAACCACAATCAACGATTCTCCTTACGGTCCACGAATCAACGACTGTAATTGGTCAATTCACTTGCTACTCACGTTTACAGTTTACACTTTTTTTTTTATGCCATGATCCTATTTTATCAAAAACATATAGCTTCTGCACACAGGATGCGGTAATGCTTGCCGCACGGTGGAAGTTTGAGCGACAGCCAATCAATATGTTGTTTTTCCATAAGAGCTAGAAGGTTGCAGCATATTGATTGGCTGTCGCGCGAATTTTTACCGCGCGGCAAGCATTACCGCGTTCTGTGTGCAGGAGCCATTAAGCTGGTGGCACACAGAAAAACTTAAGCAGTAAAACGTAAGCAGTAAGCAAATTGACCAATCACAGTCATTGATTCTTCTTACGATCCAAGAATCAACGATTGTGATTGGTCAATTTGCTTACTGCTTACGTTTTACTGCTTAAGTTTTTCTATGTGCCACCAGCTTAACTCTTACTGGAAGCCACATATTGAAGGAAGGAAGGAAGGAAGAAAAAACTTATTCTAGACGTACTTTATGACCAAGTAACCTAACCTAATCTAACGGCAAGTTTTGGAAGGAACCGAGGAAGCTGCGAATTGATGAAAGTATAGAATAGAAAGACAGTTTACACTTGGTTAAAACATGAATAAGACGCCAGTTTCTATCCTTCAAGAGATGATGGTGAAAAAGGGGTCAGTACCAAATTATGAGTTGATACATGACGGCGGGGGCACTCATATAAACACTTTTACATACCAAGTAACATGTGATGGCTTTACCGCGACTGGTACAGGTCGTTGTAAGAAAGATGCTAAACATGAAGCTGCTAATGCTATGTTAGCAAGAATTGCCGCACACAGAAACTATCCACAGTTGCCAGCATCGCCTGCTAAGTCCCCTGTTAGAACACCATTGCCTGATCCGTTACCAGTATCTCCAAGAATACCAGCAAATACACCTTTTGTTAATACAATAGGTGCTTTGCAGGTAACTATCTTTAAGTTTTATATTTGTCAATATTTTCATATTTTCTAAGTATATATTTTCATAGATATATTTTAGGTATGTATTTTCTAGGTATGTTTTCATAAAATTATTTATTACATTATTTCAGGATCTTTGTGCTGAGAATAACTTGCAGGAACCTGAATATATACCTGTTAGTGATGTTGGACCACCACATGCAAGAGTTTTTACTATTCGGTGTGTAGTATCCAATTTTACTGAAGATGGAGTAGGAACGACAAAAAAACAAGCAAAACATGTAGCTGCAAAAAAAATGGTTGATAAGATAAATAATCTTATCATGGATAAATTAAAAAACTTTAGTATAGATAATTTTCAAGGCAGTGAGAGTGATGAAGATATTAAATTATCAAATGAAATTGTAAAATCAAAGTATTGTAAACTAAGAAAATTTACTGCACCAAGAAAGATTAATTTAGGTGTTAAGTTAGCAGAGTATCATACTATAATGAGAGATAACATAGATACTGATTTACGCTGTAAAATATTAGAAGAATTGCGTAATTTAATTCCTAACAATTTGAAACTGACTGATGAAGTAATAATAGAAAAGTTTTCTAAGTTGGAGGATTTATTGTCAGAGGTTAATATTGCAATTATTATGCAGGATGTCCAATTTTCAGAGTCGGATAGTTGCTCAAAAGTTCTACAGCTTGACACATGTCCCCCAATTACACAGATTGGCATAGGAAAAACTGAGTTGGAAGCTGCATTTAAAGCATTATCATATATGATAAGCACTTTAAAAGTACTTTTGTCATAAGAAATATTGTTAACATGTGATTGAGACATATAGTATTAGATTTGTTACTTTTATAAGTTTTTAAAGATTTGCTCTATGCATTAATAATTTATGAGTTTCCAACATGAAGCATGTAATTCATTAAAATGAAATTTTTTTTTTAAGATTTTATCATATATAGTTGATTTATTTTTTTAATTTCAGAATGTGCGAAAGGAATTTATGGAATTTAATTGTACATTATGATGTGTCTCTTTTATCTACAGATACGTACTACGCTAGTCTTTTGTTTTAAAAAATGTTTAAGTTAGAAATAATGTATACCTTGCAGAGTATAGTAAGGCAGTAATATTGAATTACTAAAATATAGTTCAAAATTTTGGGAGATATATGTTAATTTAAACATGAAAAAAGTTTCAAATATTTTAGTTTTTGATAAACTTTCCATAGTTTTATTTTTACAAAACTTTAATCATCTAGAAGGTTGTGACGATTCTTATTGGCTTACATATTATATGATCACTAGAATAAAAATCGTTAATTGTTAAATTATTTTTATATACATTGTCCTATACTTGGACATTCCCAAACACTTTATTTTTATATATTATTTGTAAATATACAGGATGTCTGGTAATTCATAGAGGAGTTGTAGTATAACATTATGGTATATTATACTAGATTAGGTTAAACTGAACAAAATGTTTTCTTTCTCTCTCTCTTTCTATCATTTTCCGAATGATCACATAGATATTATTAATTACAAAAGATAGAAGATTAAGAAAAAATAAAAGCATAACATAAAAGCATATACAGTAGCAGGCATTGCCATCACAGTCCATCTATTGTATGGCGCGTAATCGTTCACGAATCTTTTTTATTTAATAACTTAGAATTTTACGTGGTTCGCAAAATGGTAGAGAGCTTTTTTGTTCAATTCTATTTAAGTTACCAGACATTCTATATAATCATTTAAAGCTAATATTCGTGCAATATATTGTAGCTGTTCATATATGATTGAAAATTAAAAAAAGTAAAGGTATGAGATTGATATATATATATATATATATATATATATATATATATATATATATATATATATATATATATATATA